TAACATGTTTTGCAAACCTTTTTTATGATTAATCTATTAATAATTAGACATCCAAAAATTTAATTAAAAATTTATTAAATTAATATTTTTAAAAAAATTGTAAAAATAAGATTAAGCAGAAAAATATATAAATATATTATTACAATGAAAATTTAATAATTATTTGACAAATTTTATGACGTTGTTTAATTGTTATCATGCATACACGTTTTTATTATTATTTAACATATAATTATTTTAAATAAATATTGTTAAAAGATTGATAAAAGAAAACTAATATATCTAATTTATGAATGTAAGTTATAAATACAAATATAAATTATTATTACCTTTTTAACCATCTAAAAATAAATTCTTATTTATAATAATATATATATATATATTATTATTATTATTAATTATATTTATTGAAGAGCGTTGTCAATGAATCTGGTTTGCATGGTGACTAATGCAAAGGAAGTGAGAATAAAAATAGAAATTGTAAATTTAAATATAATTAAGCATTTAATTTTTAAAATTTTGTTAACTTCAGCTCTTAGAATTGAGTTTAAATATTTACAAATAAAAAAAATTTATAAAAAAAAAATACAGTTATTATATTAAAACTATAAAATATGATAAATATATTTTTTTAACAAATTTGTACTATTATTAGTTGCTTATGCACCATTTTAAAAGTTGAGATTAATAAAATTCTAAATTTAAAAAAAAAATGAAATTTCTTTATGGCTTTTAACTTTTATATTTTAGTTCATAATATATATATATAAAAGTTGTCATGTAAACTATTACTTGTTTATTATACAAAATTTTAATTTGAGTAATTTAAAAAAATTATATAAAAATGACTAAAATATATTTTAAAAGTTAGAAATAACTAGTGTTTGTTTTATTTTTTTAATTTATTTGACTTTTTTCAAATTTATAAAGATAAATTATTTTTAATTTTTGAAAAAAAAAACTACTCACTTTTTATACTATCTTTTATGATAACTTTTTAAAAAATTAACCAAACTAGACTTAGATAAATTTTAATGACCTAAAAAGTAAATACTTCAAAAAAAACCACGGATTCCTCTTGCTAATTGTTTACTATCTTATATTTTGTAAAAAGCAAACTCACAAATTAATCATTTAAATATAAACAACTGTGTATATTAATTTTTTATATTTTCAAGTTAATCTTTGATATAATAGTACATCAATTAAATTCTTAAATTAGAAAATGTCTAACTTTACCTTAATAAAAGTTAAGTTATATTTAAAACACTAACAAATATTATTTCACATAATATTAAAGATTAATTTAACTTATTTTTATCACTGTTAATACTCATATTTTAATATTTTATTTTTTCATCGACCCCATTCTTAGTCACTCTTTGAAGATATAAAAATGTAGAATATAAGAAGTTCATCCAACTACTAAAAAATTTATAAATTGCAAGCTAAAATTATTAATCTCATCTTAAACTCTAACAATCCTACTTTCATCACCACAAATTCGATACTTCTCTACCACAAACTGAATACATATATTCACTCACATTCACTACAAATGAAATACACACAAACTAGTCATGAACCATAATGAGTCACCTTCTTTTTTAAATGTAAACTCATACACTATAATTCATTTTATCAAAAATGTCACTTGACCACTTCCTCCAAATTTAAAATGTGATACTTCATTGCATTTATAGATATTTATGCAACTACATTCTAATTCAAGGTTGAAGCTATTAAAGAAAGTAATGATCATAATTATGATAACAATGTAAAACCATTAACATTATAATTCAGATAAAGAAAAAATATGACAAAAAGGAGAAGTTTATAGGAGATGATACTCTAAGACGTGGAACTAGTGAAAAAAAAAGAAAATAAAAGATAATAACGATGATTGAGAACTTTGAATGAAAAGAAAGAAATGTTAAAGATTTGTTTAAATCAAATATTTTTTAAATCAGATTATAAATTTATGTAAAATAATATCCTACATGTTACTCAATACAACATATTAGTAAAATTATATAATTTTTAGTTATTAATTAATATATCAAATTTAATTAGTTTACAACTTACTATAGAGAATTTAAAAATGTAAGAGTTTAATACACATGAATATTAGTATCCAAAAGACTATTCTGATAAGTTTTTAATATATAGGAGTCTATCTTCTACTCTAACACTTTCTAAGAGCACCTTCAATAGTAGAACTCAAATGAGTTCTTAAATTTATTTTATGTGAGTCCATAGTGTCACATATACTTGAAAAACTTTGCATGTCTTATTAAATTCCAGTTGAAAATGAATGCTTTAAAAAATTATTTTTTTAAAAATAGTGCAATTCTTTTTTATTTCTAGTCAAACACTGCGCTTTCAGCGTAGAGCACTTTTACTAATAATTACTTGTGAAGAACCAATTTTAAATTAAATTTGTGCTGAGATCTCACTCAGCAATTGATTTTTCAATTTGACCGTAGTCTTCCACCCAACATTTAATTCAAGACCTTTATATTTTTACCTAATTACATTAGCTGCAACCACAAAGAGTGCTTCCGACAGGATTGAATTATTTTATAAACTTTCTAGTTAAAAATCACGCAATTCCTCAGTATTCTTAGCTTTGAAAATAATGTTACTCTACTTTTCTCTTTTTATAATTCCTCAATGGATTACCATATTCTCGACTTTGGTACCATGTGAGGGCGTGAAAATAGATATGGATCCAGTGCAGTTGACGCGGGAACTGCACGTGCAGTTCTTCATTCGCTTAAGCCATTTTGACACGGCTTAAGCGAATTTGACAATTTTCGCTTAAGCCCGTATAGGCTAGCTTAAGCGAACGAAGGCTTAAGCCAATACCACAAGCATGGAGCGACACATTGAACTAAAGCGAATGGGTGATGCGCTTGAACTAAAATATACTCGCTTAAGCGAAAAATAACAGAGAGAGATTACAAAATGGCTTAAGCGTGCTTGATTTAGCTTAAGCTGATGAGTTGTGGGCTTAAGCGCATATTTATAAGGCTTAAGCGCGTATATGATGGGCTTAAGCGAAACCTTAATGGCTTAAGCCTAAAAAAAACAGAGAGCACACCTCCCAGGATTACACATTCGCTTAAGCCTTCATGGCTTGGCTTAAGCGGAGAAACCAATAGCTTAAGCGAATATGCTTTAACTTAAGCAAAAATTGCATAAAAAGAATGTAAAGAGAATGCTCTTTTGGACTGATAAACTGGCTTAAGCTATAACATATTGGCTTAAGCGAACCAATACCAGCTTAAGCGAAATTTGTGGGCTTAAGCGATTATTGGGGGGCTTAAGCGAAGATGCAAGAAAATTGAAAAATAGCAGCTTAAATTGACAGACATGGATATACTATTTCTGAAAACAAAATACATTTGTCCTTTACATAATTGTTTTTGGCAAAAGAAAATAAAATGATTAAGATACAACAAATTTTAATTATTAATCAAGGATTGAACAAGTTGTGTCATCCAAAGGGTCCTGAAAAAAAAACATAAATCCATCAAACAAAATTATACAACGATGAACTAAAGCACTAAATTTTCATTTTGAAATTTAATGAACTTACGGTCAATAATGTAGTGAAATTGAATTGATTGTTCAAAGTTTGAGGAGGATGATAAGATGGAGGTGCTGAACAATGTATATCACAAGGTTCAGAAGGAGGACTGGGTTGATATTCCTAAAATATTTATCAAATAAACACCATATGGTTAATAAGGAATCAAAATTGAAAGTAATGCATTAGCAAATTGATTGATATATGTACCTTAGCATGTTAGTTTTGTAATTGACCTCTCGTTATCCTATTTCTTTTCCTTTTTCCTTGTAGTTCAACCCAACTTTTGAATCGTTTATATGTATTCCTCTTTAGGCTTGGTCGGTGCTTGAAACCTTTTGGGATTGTACCATCATTGATCATCGACTTAGATGCATGATTGTCAGTGTCACTGTCAACATGTTGTGTTTGTAATCGAAGGTGTGAGATTTGACGACACACAGCATTTAAACATTCATCCACTAATGTCGAGTATTCCTCTGAGCTAGATACCTCTGATGCAAGTCTAATCATTTTAGAAGCAAGTTGTCTGTATCGTTGTGTGATAGCAACTTTTGGATCCCCCTCAATCTCTCTTCGTATGAAATTGTTTATAATACCGGAACGACCTTCCTTTGTCCATCTCTTAACGATATATTTTTCAGGAATAGCCTTGACATCATTTGCTTCAAATACCTTCAATGCATGGGAACAAAGCATACCAAATGTTTCAAATTTTTTTACAAGTGCAAGAAATTGATTTTGAGACATTATCAAATGATACTCTGCATGATTTCTCTTAATTGACTGTAGTGATGACATATTCAAATATAGGAGGAGATTCAATCCTCTCTGAAATGCAACATGCTAAGAATGAAGTAAATTCTTGTTGGAAAAGGGTGAATATGGGATAAGTGTAAATTTTTCCCATTTATATCAAGATGGGAGACATCTCATATCTCAACATTGGTAGCTTATGTCGGGACTCATACTCACAAATTAGTTCATTGTAACGCTTCGCTTCAACTATATGTTCAAAACTTTGGAAGAATTGTTTAATGCTAACACCAGGTTTCATAGAAGCTTTGAAATCAGAATTTAAACTTTTAGAGAGTTGAGTACTCCGCATCTCTAGGGTGACAACTTCTTTCATATAACATGATGCCCATTTTTCTTTTATGGCATAAAGTGAGTTTATCCAATTGTCGTCATGGACATTGTACTCTTGAACAATCTTGGTCCAAGCTTTCTCAAAGTCAGTGAAGGTATCAAAGTCATACATGCATTTTTTGAAGTCTCTTAAAAAATGACTCCCACCCTTCATCAAATTACCAAGGTGTTTGATCCCATTTTGCATTAAATGCCACGTGCACAAAGAATGATGTGTCTCTGGTATGACTTCTACAAGGGCCTTAGCCATGGCTTGATCTTAGTCAGTAAACATCGTTATAGGTTTTTTGTGATTATGTGTTTCTAAAAATGTTTCAAACAACCATTTAAACGAATCAGCCATTTCATCATATAACAAAGCTGCACCATAAATGATGGTGGTTCTATAATGGTTAAAACCTGTGAACAAGGCAAGAGATCTATTTGCACGATTAGTGCAATATGTAGTGTCCAAAGAAACTACATCACCAAAATATGCATAATCTAAAATCATCTTCGCGTCAGCCCAAAATACATTTGTAATTTGTTCATCACAATCTATCTGATATGCATGAAAAAATGAAGGACAATCTAACAACTGTTGCTGAAAATATTCCATCACATAACCAACTTCTCCATAAACCATACTTCTTTGTCTTCTTTCCTTTAAGTAATTCTTTGCATTCAACCGAGTATATCCGATATTGCATCTATTGCCTGCAAGTGTGCTTTGGAGTTGAAATGAGGATTTTTGTTGCAAACCAGATTCTTGAGCCATTTCAATCTCATAAGCTTGAAATTCACTTATCTTACGATGAGAAGCAAGAATGTGAGTTGTCTCCTCAAGTTGTAAGGGATGATTATGATCTTCTACAAACTCATGAATTATAAACTTCCCATTCTTCCCCAAAGATACTGCAATTCTGGAAGAACAATCTGTTCTTGTCTCAGCTCTATGTTTAGCAACTTGACAATCTTGTTTCTTCCCTTTTCGAAGACCTTCTTTACAACAAACGTATCTGCAAGAAGTAATAGCACCATCTTCCTTTCTCTTATTAAAATACTGCTTTCTAACTCCAAATCCGATCCTCCTACCATATTCAGTCCAAAAATTCCATGCTTGTTCTACATTATCAAACTCTAATCCAACTTTTGGCTTCCAGTCCACAATGTTTTTAGTTATGTCTTCTATCAAAAACATAAACAAAAAATCCCATGTTAAACATCTCACATTATGGAAAATTTAGGATATAGCAAATGCATAAGACGTAAATGTTAAAATGAAAAAAGATACCTGACAATGGAGATGGTTCCATGGTTATCAATGTCAATAAAGCTCTAAGTTAGTATATGTTGAATGTAACTTGTTTTGTTTAAGTCTCTGATTTGTACCAAGCATGTATATTTTTAAGAGAAAGCATTTTAGGGGTTAAATGAAGCTTTTCTTCAAGCTTACGCCACGCAAATGAAAGATTCGCGCCAAAACGACGCTTTTTCGCTTAAACGTTCATAGACCGCTTAAGCGAAAGTTATAATTTTTAAGCTAAAATTTTTGCATAAGCTCATTACGGCTTAAGCGATACTTTATTGGCTTAAGCGAGTTTGTAGTGGCTTAAGCAACCGCTCTCCAAATTGAACTTCTGAGAGCGGTTGAAAGAATAACCACTCTCTAAAGTGCACTTATGAGAGCGATTCAATTATAACCGATCTCAGAATTGAACTTGGAGAGCGGTTCAAACATAACCGCTCTCTAAAGTGCACTTATGAGAGCGTTTTAGTTATAACCACTCTCAGAAGTTCACTAAAGAGAGCGGTTAAATCTGTAACTGCTCTCAGTTTGCGAATTTGTCGACGCAGCCCAGCCTTAAACCCATTCTCTCATTTCATTCATTTCATCCTTATATCAAAAAATATTGAAAAATCCTAAACCCTACCCCAAATCCAGGATTCTCCCCATTGCAGCATTCATCTCCCATTATCAGAGCAACCCAACGATTCCAGGTAAGAACTCTTACAGCAATATGTTGTTCTCCTATCTTTTAGGTTAGAGATGGTTCCATGCTTCTGGATACTATTATGGAAACAATGCTTTCAAGGGTTTAGGGTTAATGTTTTTAGAGTTTAGGATTATCACTCTGTTTGTTGTTAGATTGACATCAATATTTATGTGAAGCAAGGTTCTTTCTGTAAAGAAACGCTTAAGCGCGCCTGACTCGCTTAAGCACACTTAAGCGCATGATACTCGCTTAAGCGCCTCATTTTGGCTTAAGCGAGTATTGAGATTTGTCAAAATTATGTGTATTTTCTAATTTTCTGAGTATTGAAATTTGTTACCTTGCAGATATGGCTCCTAAAAAATCAATTCCCCAAAGAAAGAAACAACGTTCAGATGTTGGAGAGGCTTCACAACATGTACACCATACAGGAACTCAGGATAATGAACCTCTAACACAACCGAGCCCAGTCATCAACTTACCTTTGACAGATACAGGTTCTTCAATCGAGTGCATTTTCAGAGATATTTGGAATTACACCCAAGGGAACTTCTACCCGAAAAGAAAATTATTTTGGAGGAGGGACAATTTGCTGAATTTACAGAAGAACTTCAGAGGAGAAAATGGAATATATTGGCTGACCCACCAAATAAAATTGATGAAGACATAGTGAAGGAGTTTTATGCCAATGCATGGCCCTTGCATCCACAAAAATCTGAGAAGAAGTCTTGCGTTAGAAGGACATCCATCTCCTATGATAGAGATGCTATCAATGCATTACTGGGGAACCCCCTCACCTTACAAGAAGGACAATTGTGCGAATACCAGCAGCGGAGGCGCCTAACCACAGGATTTAATGATGATGATGTAGCAAGGTCCTTATGCATTCCCAACAAATCATATGAAACTAACTATCAAGGCAAGCCAATGAGGTTTAAGAGAGGGAATTTGAAGACACTGACTGAAATATGGATGTCATTTCTCTTTGCAAACATTGCTCCAACCACTCACACATCAGATCTCCGCATGCCTAGGGCCTACCTTGTCTTCAGCATTATGGAAAACCTCACAATCGACATTGCAACTGTGATCTCTGAGGAGATTCACCAGCTTGTTTTGTCCACCAACTCCCCTAATGCATCTGCAACAAAGCCCTTGGGCTTTCCAGCATTAATCACTGCTTTATGTGCTGCCTAAGGTGTTCAAATACCAAACAATCCAACACAAAGCATCAAGTTGAAAAAACCTATAAATGCCCAGTTCATAAACAACTATTGCATTAACTCATTAGACCAGCCACAGCCACAACCACACCCAGCTTCTGATCCTTCTTCATCAACATCACCATCAGCACAACCATCCATCCCCAAAATGACACCCATGGAATGACGTATCACCCAACATCTGAATCAAATACAGCAACAAATGGAGGACAACAATCGGGCATATACACATATACACTACCAGATGGCGGCTAACCATCGAGCCTACACCAGCCTTAATGACTCTTTCTATCGCTTTACCCTACACCAGCATGCAGGAGAGACTTCAACATTTCCATGGCCAACCCTAGAGGATTTTGCAGGTGTATTGTCATGGCCTGGAGACACACCTTCCTTCTCAAATGAACCTAATGCAAATCATGAAGATGGTGGACCACAAGGAGAGGAACCAGAAGAAAAGGGAGAAGGAGAAGGGGAAGAAGAAGAAACGGAAGCACAACTTGATCATGAAGGTAGTGATGGGGAAGGAGACCATGTGAAGGACGACCAACCTATTCATAATGATGTTAATCTATAAGATGCATGAACACTTTGTTTTTTCTTTATTTGGTTTTAAAGTTTAGATTTTAGTTTATGTTTGAAGTTAGTTCATATTGTAAAGTTTCAAGGACCTATTTAGTTTGTTGCAGCTAAATTATGAAATTTCACTTTATTAACCACCTATCTAAATTCTTTTTGTTTTGATTCTCTTTTATAATTTGTATGACTTGTTTACTAAATAAACCCAACAAATTATCTTGTAAATTAAAACTTGTCATATACATATAGTAATCATTTTATTTTCTTTTGCCAAAAACAATTATGTAAAGGACAAATGTATTTTGTTTTCAGAAATAGTATATCCATGTCTGTCAATTTAAGCTGCTATTTTTCAATTTTCCTGCATCTTCGCTTAAGCCCCCCAATAATCACTTAAGCCCCCTAATAATCACTTAAGCCCACAAATTTCGCTTAAGCTACATAGTGCTCGCTTAAGCTGGTATTGGTTCCCTTAAGCCAATATGTTATAGCTTAAGCCAGTTTATCAGTCTAAAAGAGCATTCTCTTTGCATTCTTTTTATGCAATTTTCGCTTAAGATAAAGCATATCCGCTTAAGCTATTGGTTTCTCCACTTAAGCCAAGCCATGAAGGCTTAAGCGAATGTGTAATCCTGGGAGGTGTGTTCTCTGTTTTTTTAGGCTTAAGCCATTAAGGTTTCGCTTAAGCCCATCATATACGCGCTTAAGCCTTATAAATATGCGCTTAAGCCCACAACTCATTAGCTTAAGCCATTTTGTAATTCCTCTCTGTTAATTTTCGCTTAAGCGAGTACATTTTAGCTCAAGCGCATCACCTATTCGCTTTAGTTCAATGTGTCGCTCCATGCTTGTGGTATTAGCTTAAGCCTTCGTTCGCTTAAGCTAGCCTATACGGGCTTAAGCGAAAATTGTCAAATTCGTTTAAATCGTGTCAAAATGGCTTAAGCGAATGAAGAACTGTACGTGCAGTTCCCGCGTCAACTGCACTGAATTCGTATCCCGTGAAAATCCTTGAATACTAGAAGCATTTGGTCTCTGATATTTAACAAGTATGTGCATACTCTTGTTAAACGATGGTTATTGGTTAATAAAGATAACAAAACAGGGGGCAACCAAGAAACCCTTGCGCGTGAGTGGACCAACTCAAGTACTTGCTATGCTGCTGCTTATTAGCTAAACAATTAGTACATAACTAAGAGTTGTCCACTTATTCTAAGCAAGTGCACAATTGTGAGACATTCATAGTGGATTGGAACTAGCTTGAGGGATATCATCCTCTCACGTGACACGAATTGGATAAGTTTTGTTATTTAAACAGCTAAAAATTAATACCGCACATGATAACCAAATATATACTTAAAATCATCTAAATTTATTCATCAAACATTCTCCTAATTATACTAATAATAAATTATTGAACACAATTTATATTTCACCAGCAATCCAATAAAACACCAAAGAGGGGAACTGCAAAAATGCACTAATAACTGTTGTTGGGGGTATCAAAATTGGCGATGGAAACAGAGTGAAGCAGCTCCAACGCTCCAACCAACTCTGCCTCGACTTCTCCGCCATTCTTTATTGCTTTCTATTTCATACTCACAACCTTTCTTCCTAATTCTCTCACTGACTCAAACCCTCACCATGGCTTCCCTCTCCTTCTCCGCCGCCTTCACCGGTCGTCGCCTCCCCGCCACGGCGTCGCCCTCCACACCGCCTCGCCGGAATCCCTCCCTGTCGGTGCAATCCAAGATCAGAGAGATTTTCATGCCGGCCCTCAGCTCCACCATGACGGAGGGCAAAATCGTCTCATGGGTTAAGTCCGAGGGCGATGCCCTTTCCAAGGGCGACAGCGTTGTCGTCGTCGAGTCCGACAAGGCTGACATGGACGTTGAGACATTTTACGACGGCATCCTCGCTGCCATTGTCGTCGCCGAGGGCGAAACCGCCCCCGTTGGCGCCCCCATTGGCCTCCTCGCTGAAACTGAGGAGGAAATCGCTGAGGCCAGGGCCAAGGCGGCCAATTCCGCGAAAATTGGAGCTCCGAACCCTGCTCCGGAGACCACTCCCCCGCCGGCGCCGGTTTCCGACGCGCCCCGGAAGGTTGTGGCGACGCCGTATGCGAAGAAGCTCGCGAAACAGCACAAGGTGGATATTGGATTGGTTGTTGGGACTGGTCCTTATGGGAGGGTCACTCCTGCCGACGTGGAGAAGGCCGCCGGAATTACACCGGCGGCGAGTAATGTAGCTCCGCCGGCAGTGGCTTCTACGGTGCCAAAAGCTGCTGCTGCTGCTCCCCCTCCGGTGACCTCCTCGCCTCCAATTCCGGGTTCTAGTGTTGTCCCTTTTACAACGATGCAATCTGCGGTTGCAAAGAACATGGTGGAGAGTCTCTCTGTGCCTACATTCCGTGTTGGGTACCCTGTAACCACTGATGCACTTGATGCTCTGTATGCGAGGGTATGGTCATGCTGCTTAGTGCTTTTCGCTGTTGATGTTGTTATGAAGGATTTAAATTTCAGTTGCATTGCCGTTACCGAAAGGACATAACTTAGATGCAGTTCTTTGGGTATTTTGATGCTGTTTTCCAATCAAAATTAAAATTTTACGTCAATAATCTGCATAATAAATGTTGGTGTTTAAGGTTGATGCAGGTTACCAAAGTGAAAATCTAGTTTTAATTGAAGAACAACACCAATAGCACACAAATAGTTGAATTTAAGTTTTGTCCTCAGTGAAAATGCAGGAAATGTGTTTAATGTGGCTGCCATTGCTGTTGTGGATAGGAATTTGGTTAAAATTGGATGTGGAGTTTTGAGTTTTCACCGTTTTTGTTGCTGTTTTAATACATTTTCAGGTGAAATCAAAGGGAGTGACAATGACTGCGATTCTAGCCAAGGCAGCTGCAATGGCACTGGTGCAACATCCGGTGGTGAATGCTTCCTGCAAAGATGGAAAGAATTTTGCCTATAATAGTAACATTAATATTGCTGTTGCTGTGGCAATCAATGGTGGTTTGATTACCCCGGTTCTTCAGGATGCGGATAAGGTATGTCATTGTTGAATAATCCCAAGTTGGAACTGTCATTGGAGAATCACGTTGATTTTTGTTTGAGTTCCCTAATCCCTAGTTAATTGGTTAGTTACTTGTTACAGTTGGACCTATATCTTTTGTCTCAAAAATGGAAAGAATTAGTTGAAAAAGCTCGTGCAAAGCAATTGCAACCTCATGAGTATAATTCAGGTTTCTTTATAATTTGTGTATCTTTTGCTATGTTGTTTCTCAGTGGGACTGGAATTTTTTGGTCTATAAATGTAAGTATGTAACTGTGTTCTTTTGTTATGTTTGCAGGAACTTTCACTCTTTCTAATTTGGGAATGTTTGGAGTTGACAGGTTCGATGCCATTCTTCCTCCAGGCCAGGTGACTGATGAACTCTTGGATTTTGAGTATTAATTTACTAGATTATGTGGCTCAGTTTTATGGCAATTTGACCTTTGGTTTGCCAAACTTTATCATTTGTGTTTAGGGTGCTATAATGGCAGTCGGAGCATCAAAGCCTACTGTTCTGGCTGATAAGGATGGTTTCTTCAGTGTAAAAAATAAAATGCTGGTGAGTTATATGATTATTTCTTTAACTTGTGTTTTAAGGTTATAATAATAGACAAGTTTGTATAATTTGATAGATATTCACTTTGGCTTTATTTGACCACAGAAACCTTGTTTTGATTAAAAAAAAGGTATTTTTTCTCAACACACCAGAGTCATCAGATGAAGACAATAAACCTTTCTTAATATTTACACAGTGTTCTGCTGCTAAGCCGAATGCTTTAACCTGTTAATTCTGTGCATATCCTAAACTTTAGGTTACATGTGTATGCTGTTATGCTTAGCATTTCTGAAGGGTTAATTCTCTGGGCATCATATCTCAAATCTGCACATAATGCACTTTATATATTATTTATTTAAATCTTTGCAAGTCTTTTCCTCTTTGGTCTTGTTTCTTGATTTTTGACTGCAGCCGTGACTCATACATAAGAAACCAGATATTTAGGCCTTCCAAAGCCTCCAATTACAATTGTTATCTGGAACCTTTGCTTTATCAGTGTACATGAAACTATTGTCTTTTAGACTTTTCACTCTTGGGTTTTTATCATGCTAGATGTCAGAAACCGTAGTCAATTGGCTTGACTGGTTCTTAGTGGCTAAGATGTATCTTTAACTACTACATAGACAGCGTTTGTTGTTTCTGACTTACGCTGATCCCATTTTGTCATTTTGCTTGACACAGTGAATGATAGGAGTTGTTTTCTTTCTTGTCTACTATTGTTTTCATCTCATTAAGGACAAAACCTATAACAGCAAAGCCTTTATGTGTTTGTTCTGAATCTCTTTACCTGATTCACTGCTAACTAATTTGGGGTTCTCCTACTGGGGTGTGAATGTAGAACTTACAGCTCTAAAGGTCTACCGATAATCATTCTGAATGCTACTTATTCCTTTCATAGTCAACAAACAAATATGGCCTTCCAAGTGGAGGTTTTAGAGCAACTAGAGTTCTTTTTAATAACTCGTCATGGTTCCTGAAGGGCAGCTTGTCTACTTTTACCCCCTTACCTGCCATACTTTATGTAATTCCTCATCAGATGAATGCTGCAACCTGCAAATAATTTTCTTAAATTCTTTGGCTGAGTCTTACTTGTGAAGAAAGAGTTGCTATGGACCACTTATCTTAATTGTTTAATTTTACAATTTTCTCAATTAATATAATCTACCATTACATATCTGAATATCAGAAAATTGCACTGTTCTGAGTATCAACAGGAGGGGCAGGGGGAAGTTCTAATGCAGAAAGAAACTTTGAATCCTTTTCCTAGTCACATACACAGTTGAACAGACCATGTTAAAAATGTAAAAATTTATGACTGCACGCATCATTTTGATAATTTTCTAATCTTTACTGTAGTGCTGAAAACCTAGATTCATTCCCTTTAATTAGTGACAAGTCCTTTTCAAAACATGAGTGAATTGAGTTCTGAAATCTAGGACTGGTTTATATACTTGTTAAAATAAGAATGAAAAGAGTGCCCATTTGTACTGTATTAGAGTTTGTAATTTTCCAAGGGCTTCAATTTTTTGGAGATTCTTTGTGGCTTAAATATGTTTTTTATCCTTACATTTTCACAAGTTTTTCATTTTGATCCCTCTCAGATGTAGCTCCTCGTAGTTACTAGTTAGTCAAATCATCATTTAACTGCCACTAAGGATCCAAAGTATTGAATTTAGGAAAACTAGAGACCAAAAGAAAAAAGTTTGGAGGGACAAAAATATATATTTAAGCCTTTTTTTATGTTGATTAAATGTAAGCTTCATGTAAGAGGTACAAGAACAAAGACACGCTTTATCATATGTGGAATTATAATATTTATATCTGAAGATAGCAATAATTGGTGTCTTGTTTTCAACTTTTCTTTGTCAGGTAAATGTAACCGCAGATCACCGAATAATCTATGGGGCTGACTTGGCTGCATTCCTTCAGACATTCTCAAAAATTGTTGAAAACCCTGAAAGCCTAACATTGTAGTCATTCAACACTTCAGACATAATTATCTGTGCTCCTTCGCCCGGGAATGACGAGTTTATATTTTTCACTGAGCAGCCTTTCTGGCTTAATACCTCATATTTTGTGTTTATCTTGTACTTCAATTTTGTTATACATTTTCATGGTCTGTCCCAAGTAAGATTGACTTGATTTTCAAGGGGTGGCTATGATTTTTATTTTTTTTTGTATACCCGATGAAGGATATTGTAAACGAAAATCAATGGTGAGAAACAAGGTATCATCTTTTGCAATAATAAGAAAACTATTATTCTTTTCATTTCTTGGTGTGTAACTGGATTCTAAGTTAGTACCAATATTCATTTCTTATTCGTTTCGTCTTTTTCCTTTCGTTTAAGAAGGCCGTGATCCCTGCCAACAAATATTTTGGCTCGGAATTTTTGTTAAAAATAAAGAAAGAAACGAAAAAACAAGGTAAATGGCTAAGAATGAATATTTTCATGTGAATCTATGGTAAGAAGCAAGGTGGGTGTTATCAGAATTAAGATTTTACTGTAAAACAAACAAAATATTCTTTTCATTTCTTGATATGCCGTTGGATTCTAAAGATTGGTTCGTTTAAACATTCATTTCTTGTTTTTCTAGGTCAATACTTTTATTTCTTGTTCATTGTTGTCTTTTCTTCTTCCAAGATAGCTTATTGTGGGAGTTTTTTTCACACCCCTTTTTTATCCAAAAATTTATTCCCAAAGTTTTTATTTTGAAAATTTAATCCCGAAAGAGATTTACAAGCAATTTTTTTAAATTAAATTTGTAGATTGCATCAAATTCTATTTTAAAAAATAAATTTAATTTAAGTGGTACGTATTCAGTTCTAAAATAAAGTTTTGAGATTGAATATTGTATATGAAAAGAATCTTTATTGGGTAACATGACTGGTGGAATTGAATTGAGTTCCACGGTTATTGTTGACTTTATAGGTACAATTATCTGTTCTTAGACATTTTATCCTGTTTTCGTATATAAACATAATGTTAAATGAATGGAGAATGGTGTGATTTCAATAGTAACCATAATTATTTATAGTACATATATGTTAAACAAAGATACATGCTAATGGATACATTTCTTCTACTACTGTTTAGTGGTAATATTTTTTATGTATAGCGCATGGTCTCCTAGTCTTTACAAGCATGGTCACTGAAAAGGTGTGAAACTCAAAATCCCTACAACATTGCACTTAAACTGTGGTAGCGAGTTCTACTTGGTTCCCTTCTGAACTGCTATCCCCTTTATCATGATGGACCTGAATTGGCTTGTAAGTGTAAAATTTGGCGCAAAGTAAGTAGTAAATAAGATTGATAAATTGCAATATTGTGATGAGCCAGTAAAAGTATTCCAACTTCCCCTTGTTAAGATTGTTATCAGGGAGCCAATTTGATCCATTGGGCCCAGCAGTGAACTTATGGATCAAAGTAACCAAAAGGGTACTCACATAGTTACCAACAGAAATTGAGGTCCAAAAGAGCGCCATGGCAGTGCTCCTCATACTCTCTGGGGCCTGGTCATAAAAAAACTCTAAGTGCCCAATGGACATAAAGGCCTCAGCCATTCCATGAAGGCTATATTGTGGTACAAGCCAAAATACTGAGATTGGGATTGTGGCATGTGGGTGGTCAAAAAGCCCATGGTCTATAGCTGCATTCTTTCTCTTTATTTCAATGAACCCAGCAACTAATGTGGCAAAGGTTGAGATCACAAACCCAATACCCATTCTATGAAGGAAGCTGATGCCACGGTCCAGCCCAGTGAATTTACGAGCCACTTTGATGAAGACTCGGTCATAGAAGGCTGTTGTTGTGAGCATTGTGAGGATGGTGAAGACTGACATGGACCCTGCTGGGATTTGGAAGCTTTTGGTGAGGTGTCTATCCATGGTTTTTGCTTGTTGAAGAGAGAATGTGCTTTGTTGTGCATAGGCTGTTATTAGAAGAATGCCTGAGGCCCATATTGGGCCCATTCTTATTATGGACTTCAATTCCTCCACTCTATGGACTGTGTTTAGCTTCCATAAGTTGGGTGTTTTGCCATTGTCTTCTTCTTCTGTCACAATTGCTGCCTTGTCCAAAAATCTGGACCAAATTTCAATAGCAAATGGAAAAAAAGTGGTTAGTTAAGAAAAGGGAAGATCCCATTCACAATTTTCTCCTAGTCATTAAAAGCTGCATTTATAGAAATTAAGGGGCTTTCTAATTATGTTCTATTTTCCTCTATATAAAATACGAGTATTTTTAAAGAATGGCTTAATAAAAAAACAAAATTCTATTTGGTTACTGCTATTTTAAAAACAGTTTGAGATATTGAAAAAACAATACAAGAATTATAATACCCAAAAAAATGTTCAATTTTTATTTTAAAATAGTTGATAAAAACCCGCACCATCAAACATTTTTCAGATTGTTTGGTTTTCAAAAACTAATCTATACTTTAAAAAAGTTATCCAACACCTGAGATCTTTTTCACAACGTTGTTTGAATTAATAATATAAATGTAAACTTGATCCTTATTAATCATCATATTTCATTATTAAATTTAATGGCACTAAGAGTTTGTTTAGCAGATACGGTATGATGAAAAATGATAAAATTCGAGGGTTAGATAAAAGTGTAATATAATAAAAGTAAGATATAATAATATATTTTATATTTGATACATATCAAAATAAAAATTAGATAAATTTTATTATTTTATCTCTTTTCACCTTTAACCTAGCCTTTCTCGGAGAATAAAATTTATACTAAAGAGAAATATATAATAAACTTATTGTGTCATGTTAGTTCCACAAATGTTAAAAAACATATCTTATTACGTCCTTTCAACCTATTTATCAAATGAGCCTAACATAAAAGATATAAATTATTATAATCATAATTTCGAGAAGATAAATTGCACACTAATCATAACTAATTATTAAATGATAGGGTATACTCATTTTAATTCACTTTCTTTTATTAATTAAAAATATAAAATGTATTCTCTATTTAATGTAATAATGTTTAAATTTTAAATTGTAAAAAATATATTACTAACACTCCACTCAGAGGATAAATATGATATGGAACAAAAGGATATCACATGGACAAAATTGAAGGCTAACACAATGTCTAGCCAATGTTTGATAATTGATGAGGTGGGGACTAGAGAAACACATACAGGCACGACAGCTGAGAATGTTTTGTTTCTTAGCTGAGTGGTCGCCAATAATAGATGAAACAACAAAGGGGGTCGTCGAATAAACCAAAAACTATATTCATATAAATTCACGAGTAGACAATATGGACTGTGTGCACAGGACCAATGGCGTGATCATTGTCGAAGTGGTCAAAAACTCATGGCAAAACAAAATTAGTCTCCAATTATGACCCATAGAAATTAGAAAGTAGAACTGGAAAATAATTAGGCAAAACAAAAATCTACTACTTGACATTTACATGTCTACTGTCTGGATAACCAGAAAATTAATGACTGATTGACAGTGAGTGTACATTCTGAATTCAAAATACGATTAATCAATGATAGATTAAGTTGAAAAGAGAGATGAAGGAAATAAGTTACTAATGATCTTTCCCACGACCGACATAGCCCAAGAAATTAACCTATGATTGGTGGTGACCATTTTCAAAAATTTTAATATTCATGAACAACGAAACAACATTTTTCTAAAAATAAAAAACAAACCAATCATATGTATAACGATTAAAAGCATATTCAAGTAAAAGAAAAATAGAGACTCACTTCATCTGTTGAGAATGAAGAAGCTTCCCACCCGAGGAAATAGAGGCATCGAGTTCATCATTTTGGTATAGTAAACTATGATGTGACACATTTGGGATCTTTCTCTTGCGAAACGCAGCCACAGACACTTGAATCAATCGGGTAAACGGGCTCCCAGCCGGGTTCAAGTTGCGGTAAAGTGGGTACCCGACAATGAATGCAATAATGGAGATGAACATTGCAATGGTGGGAATTCCAAGGCCCAATCCCCATCCAATGTTATCTTGAATGTAAACAAGAACGGTCACAGCCACAAGAATGGATGCACCCATCACAAAATAGTACCAATTGAAGTAAGTCCATGTCCTTGTTGTTTGCTTTGGATCCGACTCATCAAACTGTTCAGCTCCGAATGCAACTACGCAGGGTCGGATCCCACCCGACCCGAGAGCCCCAAGAAGTAGTGAGACGTACAGCACTGCCAGCTGTCCACTACTTGCTTCTTTGCACACCTCTTCACCTTTGCATGGAGGTGGCCTTAGCTGTGGGAGCACTGCTGATAATGTCAAACTAATCATACCCTGATTAGTTAATCACACGAAAATGACAAATTAGAACAGTAACCTTAATTAACATGCATGTAAATGCATTTAATCGGCAAAGAAAAACATGTTATGTGGCACATGTTTTTATCAAAAAATTCAAAGAATCTACAGTGATTTTTTTAAAAAAAAATTAAATCGTTAATCAATCATATTAACGTCACGGGTTCAATTTGTTCACACATCCTCTGTGAGTTTGCGTCCATCCACTCTTTTCTCGTTCCATTGGACAAGAACTTCAAGTAATAAATCACCTTTTCAATCACAATCAAGACTTGAAATCTACTCCTAATTATGTTTTTTAATCTAAATCACCTTTTTAATTATAATCAAGATACGTAAATCTACAACTAATTTTATCAAATTTTTATTCTATCTTTAACCTCTAAATTTGATTAAGCGGCATCTATATATGTCTAATATATATTTAACTGCGTGTGGTCAGTGAGTTCTTATACATGTAGACCTCACGTAATAAACCATCCACACAATGCAGTAAATAGTTTTATATATTAAATAAGCTAGGATTACATGCAAAGAAATTCTATTCTTATTCACGTTCTTAATAATTTTTTTCTACAGTGTTAAGAAGGAGCAGTGATAAAAGAAAAGAAAAAGTGACGATAAATGATGTGATACAAACAAATCAATAAAATTTTAAAAACTATTATAAAAATATGATATAAAAGTAGAATAATTCATAGATACATAGACACACATCGACATGAACATCTAGAGGTTAAAATCTGTTCAAATTAAGAACTGTTGCTCAAGAGAAATGAATTAATTGATTAATTATTAGAAGTAGAAGGAAGAGGATGTTTACAATCTGGTATATAATGGAAGCACCGGTGATAGTCCAGAACTTTCCAGCATAAGAATCAGCAATGAAAGCACCAAGCAATGGTGTCAAGCTTGAAGTTCCACCAAAGTTGGTGAGGGTGTTAGCAGCTTTGGTTAGTGGCATATGAAGCTGTGTTGTCAAGTAGCTAATCATGTTTGTATTGAAACCCACCACGGCCAACTTCTCACAAACATCATTAGCTGCAGCAAAAATAATAATTAATTCAACAAATCTAAGGTTAAATGATTCAAAACCATATATTTGGAGTAGTGTTAGGACTTAGAAGGAACTATTCTTTTTTCTCTACATTTTAAATTATATATGTATATATTATGAAGCTTACCAAAGATGAAGGGCATTGTGATGAGCCCTCCCTTTTTCCTTCTGGCATGATTTTCATTCTGCTCCATATTTTCAAAACCCTATTGGTATTCAAGTATATGACATGGCCACAAAGTTATGTATTGTATTTATAGCCTGAGCTTGAGGTTTGGAGGATCTAAGCTTATCACAGCAATCACTTTGTCAAGCGTTCACACAACCACTTGAAGAGCTATGGCCACAAATAAGATATATATTTTTTGGATTATAAAATAATTTATTTTCACAAAGAGGTGTAGTATTCGAATAAAATCAAATTATAAATTCGATACAATGGTTGGCATGTATGGGACAAGAAAGTTTTGTCATATGTACCTTTTTTCTTTTCCAACTTGCAATGTATATACTGATATATGCTACAGATATTCAAATGATATATTTTTTTCTCTTCACTTACTCTACGCTCAAAAATGAAATTTCAATCTATAATTTTCAATGGATATTAGGTTAGATAATGAACTTCAATAGACATTGTTTTTTTTTATTATTATTATTGTTATTTTGTTTTCGGTGAGTTGGCCTCTAACATTATGGTACAATGATAGTATCTGAGAGAATACATGTATATCCTAATAACCTTTCTTTTTTCCATATTTATTCAACACAAAACGTCTACTTGTTCATTTTAATATTAAATTTTATATTCTATTAAAAATAATAGACAATTAATTTTAAAATATTATTAATTTTTAAATCTATATATTATTCATAATACATTCATTAAGTATTTTTTTCATTTATTAAAATTTATTACTATATAAAAAAGTAATATTTATATATATTGTACTCCTACCACAATAAACAACATGATTAAATATTAATATAATTTTTTTAATAAAATCTTTTAAACTATATATTTTTAATTTTTTCTATTGTAGTGGCAATGTTAGGCATATCATGAGGTTCCTCTTCCCTTCATCGTGTTTTTTTTTGCAGGTCAGTGATTTAAAATAGTTTCATCTTTTAACCAAACTTAACTAGTTAGTCTACTCATAGGGAGTCAAAACTTTTTGAACGAATAAAAAAGAAAAATAAAAGAGTCAGTACTATTTTTCAAGTCTAAGTTATATGTATCATTTATACATATCTATTTTCATGGATTATAAAATTTTGATTATGGTCATTCAAACAATTTGGATTATATTAATGAGTTGATAATATTAAAAATTTCAGATCGACAATGGCAAGATAAAGAGATATCATAAATTAAGTTTAAGTTTTGAGAATATTAAGGAATATTATTGTATTTTTATATTATAATTTTTTATTTTATAAAAAAATATTTTTTATAAAATATTTTTCTTAAAATCTTAATTATAAAATTATTAAAAATAGTCCTGAAAAAATTACTTTTTCAGAATATTTTTTTAAAATACTTGTACTAAATTTAAAAATTTAACATCTACAGTTTAAAGTTCTTATTTTTTTTAAAAATATCTCTCATCAGATGTCTCCTTAAATTAATCATCATCGATATACAATTAGTACTAATTTAAAGAGCCATGACACCATACACCCTAATTCAAAATATGATCCATCGCGCCTTATTCTCACGGTCGGGAGAGGCTTCGTACATTGCCAACATATTAGTTCTTAAAATTTTTATTTTTGAATAAATTTTCCGTTTTCTTAAATATTTTTTTAATTTTGATTCTTAGCTTTTTTGCTTCAAATTATATTTATTTTTAGTTATTATAACTAACATGATCTACTCAAAAGATGCCACATATCAACTTATAGTAAGATTAAAGATGATTAAAAACAATGTTAAAAAAATGATTAAAAATAAAATAATGTTTAACCGAAAAAATTCGTTTAACAACATTAAAATAAAATATTACCAAAACATAAATATATTTAAATCTATTAATTTTGATTAAGGATAAATGTCATTAAAGAAAAATATATAAAAGGGGTGGAATGAACATTTCTTGAAGAATACTTTTGCCATTCTATTTTTATTTCACAGTTTAATAAACTGAATTGTTTAAAACAGAACACTAGCTGTCCTCAAATCGTATATATTGTATGAAATATCAAAAGTGGGGATAAGTTTAATGAAGAAAGGATTAAATATATATGTTGAAAAGAGTGTACGTTTATATATTAATTATTAAAAAAGACTAAAATAAATTGAAGATGATTTTTGCAGCTATAAAGATAAAAATTGTGAAAATTTAAACCTTAAATAGGACCTTCCTCACATGAATAACTCGAATAGTTCATATTCTTTACCCCAAATAACCTGTGACACCGCTACAATGGTTTGTCTATTGAACCATCTTGTCATATTTTCTATCTTTAATTAAGAAAATTTGTCTTTATAAAAATGTTCTGACAAAAGGACAATGTAGTCATCAAAAGAAAAGCTAAAAAACTGTCTATTCATCGTGCTTGGAGACATCCAAGTAGGGGCTTTCTGGACAGTGGAGAACTGGAGCAAGTTTCATGGTAATTACCAACCTTTTCTTTTTATCCCCTTTGATACAAGAGCTTTCCTATATTCTTTTATTTATTTTAATAATTCTTTTATACTATAGTAATTAAAATATAATCAACATTTTTATCTAGTAATTAAAAAAATTATATATAAATGATATCTCTTAATCTATATATTTAATATTGAGATTGAAATTCAAAATCACTGTTAAAATTTTGACTGAATCAATCCACTTGTTAAGTGTGGGTGCAAGTGGGGCATGTAAGTAAGAATTGAAACCGAAACTCTTTTTGAATCAACACTGTTTGATTCCATTGAATTCAGCTAACAATCATTGTTATATCATAGTGGAGATTGACGAGGAAGTATATGTGGTATGGAAAGTGGCAGAGAGGGTTATATAAGTGACAATCTGGCATTGTGTTCATAGAATCACTTTGGAATGTCGGTTCTTAAAAGGATTTATAGAAAATATATCTTTTTGCCTGATTCAGATCCGAAATGATATTCATGTCACAGAGAGATAAGATTTATGGGCGGTTAGTGGACTGCAAAATTCATAGTACTGCTCAATCATTGATGTTTCCATCTTCGTTTACGTGAGAAGGACAAACTCGACAACCTCAAGAACTCCTCTTTAATTGCGTTTTGGCCATTCGCTTGGTAGGATTTACAGGTAACACTATTTCTTCACACTAATCTTTTTTAGATTCACCAAAGAGAGATTGATGCCTACTAATTCTAGATCTTTCAGTCAGATCGAGGGTTTGATTATAGCCTCTCCATTGTTTATCAAGATATTTGCTCATGTTTATTCCGATTCCTTTAATTGTGACTTAACTAAAGAAACTAGTTTTCAATCTAACATAATTTTATCCAATAAGATGTTTTACAGTAAAAATATCACAAAATTAAGCTGTGTGCTTAAATAATGACTGATAAATTAAGAATTAAACGCACACTAAACTTAAATTAATAATAATTTAAAAAGAGTGAAAGTTAATCAAATATTATTAATTGAAATTACAAAAAAATCAAATTAATAGTAATGACAAATAGATTAATTATAAAAAAAATAAGATAATAAAAAATTTATTTCAAAACATACAAGTAACCAAAAATATAATTAAACCAAACAATAAAAATAAATAAAAATTTCTCAAAATATACACTCTAACCCTCAAATATTTAACTTTACGTTTACACCCAAATGCACGTCATAAAAGTAGGCATCATCATAATTAATCTCACACATTTATTCATACAACAAATAAAAATAAAAATTAATCTCGCATCAATTTTATTTGAAATACAAACTAGAAGATCGAGCACAACTATGTCAAGGGATCAGAAGTTAAAAGCAACATAGTTGATATGACGGGCATCTACGAATCAATATTTATATCGTTGTATAATACAAAGTCAGATTCCCTTTGCACTATTTTCACTTTTTCTATCAAAGTCTCATCATAGAGAGGGAGTGAGAAAAAATATTCTCGCTAACTTATATAAGTGTGTAAACTTTTACAAATTGATTAAACTTCACTCTTGGAAGAATAGTTGCATGCTACATCATCAATAAGTGATAAGAAGAAACACTTTTAAAGTTTTTGAATTTATGAACAACAAAATCAATACATTTTTTTTTAAAGAATAAAACTAAAATTTACTATATTTACAAGAATTAAAAATATATTTTACTTTTAAAATAATTATTTGTAATTATAAAAAATATAAATATAATAAATGACTAGTTAATATCCATGTGAAAATCAGGAGAATAAACATGATATCAAAAAGCATATTTGATATATATTTAAATGAAATTGAATTTTCAAAAGTATAGGTAATCAGTATACTATTAATTAAAGGAACAAGAGATACCGATCAGTTATTAATAATTTTTAAATTTAATTTTAAAAGTTAAAATATATAAAATATGATGTTCTATTAAGTGAAAAAATGAATTTAAAGAGAAGAAACGTATATACTGCCTAATATATGACATTACCGTACTTACCTATACTCAACAAAATACTATACATAGAAGCAATTTGCTGAAATTAAAATTGATGCAAGAGTTTTGGTTATCCGACTCCGGTGATCCTCCCTTTCATGACACTCTTCCTCTGATTCACAAGAATCAAAAGCACATCAATCTGGACCAAAAGTTCAAAAATAAAATGAAATAAATCAGAAGCACAATTTTTGTCTGGCTTGTATTCGTGATTTTGAGTCTCAATTTGACCCCCTAAGGCTAAGTGGGGTTGGTTAGGTGGGGCGAAGAAAACGACTTGATGAACCCAATGGTCCTTTGAACTGACCATGATCAACCCACCATAGCTACATACACCTTCACGCTCTGATTTTGATGTTAGTGTCCTTGTCTTGTTGGGATTTTAATCATGTAATGTCACTTGTGAAAATGATATAGTTTGGGACCAAGAGAGTAGTGAATGATGGTCGCACTCTTGACATTAACCATCATGCGTGTCCTTTTAAACAGCATGTGAATTGAAAACATGGTCTTCTGAAATCGAGGTGACATCCCCCCCCTAGCTAAGATAATCTATATATATGGATCTGTGTTCTAGTTGTGACGCTTGTTATTGCACCATGCATTTGCATGTGGGAGTTGTGGACCTTTTGCAGAGAATTTTCGTGAGACAATTTAATTTTGTGCATATGAAAGCGAAAGAGATGGTTTATAAGAGTCATATCCAAACACGTATATATTAGGTTGTCATTTTAGTGTGTCGTTTAGAGGTTAGAATCTTTTCCAATTGCTAAGGAGAAGGCATGATAGTTCTCAGAGGACCCTTTTTATGTTTAGCAATTATGTTACTTCTTTGTATATTTCCTCCAACCGAGTTACACAAGAATCCAAAAAAATTTCCTTTTGATAAATCTCCCTTGCAACGAAAAAAACTATCTTGATAGTTGTGTGTGATCATGGTTTGCAAACTCAAACAAACAGGCCAATGATTCAGTTCCTTATGTCAATTCAATTTCAGAATGTATATTCACGGAACATTTACAAGGAAAAATGTTACTATTTCAAAACAACAAATGTATGTTCTCATAAAATGTTGATTTTCAATTAGAGGTTAAGAAAAGAAAGAAATACATTACTGTCAAATTTCACGTTTTTTAGTTTTTCAAAGTTTAAAATCAAATCTTAAATTCATACTACACAGATCATTTTCTATCTCTCAATTTAATTTGTTTTAGGATGAGGTAAAAGTAGAGAAAAAGGGAAGGGTGAAATTCTAGTGAATTTTTGACAATAAAAATATGATAATGATAGAATATGACAACAGTGATAATAAAATATAATAATCATAATAATAATAATAACAATAATAATTACAGTAGTAGTGATTACAATAATCATAATTATTGTTAGTAATTGAAATGAAAATAATAAAATAACTTATAATAATAGTAAAAATGATAATATGATAATTATTAATTCGTCATTGTAATGGCAATAATAGTAATATTAGTAATTATATGTCTATATTAAGAAATATAAGAAAGTTAAATGATTTTATCTTGTGACTAAAATGTTTTTAAAATTTTAAAAATCGAGATAAAATGGTTTAAATGGAAGTTAAAAGCTAATTCAAGTATACTTTATTTAAACATTATTTTAAAATACACGTTTTTATTTATACTTTTTTTACGTGCTTTTTATTTTAATCTCTTCAAACAATTTTTTTTTTTTTACTTTTAATTCCTATATTTTCACAAGTTTTTTTTTTAAATTTAATCTCTCATTAACCTAGCCACACCCAAAATAATTAAACAATAGTCTCTTGACCATATCATCATTTTACAGTCATCCTAACCTAAAAGTATATAAAAGCAAGAAAAACTAGAAATCAAAAGTAAAAAATGATTAAAAATTTAAAAAATAATAATAATCTAGAAAGAATAAATTTAAATATTTTAAATCAAATATTTTAAAGAAATTCATAAGCAATTAAAAATCACGTTTGCTGCGTCTACGATAAAAATGCTCAGTAACAACGTGTCTAGGTACTTCTTAGATGGAAAAACTATGGAAAAAATTACTTTGAAAAAATTTAAAGCATCTAGATTTTTAAGCAAATAAGAATAGTTTTAAGTACAGCACTCTAAATTTTATAAACCAACTTATACGTTTCAAAAAATTTATTTATCTCTTTTAAAAACAATTATTTTAAATTTGCTCTTATGATGTAATATCCGAGCACATAATTTTCATTAACATCAACTTTTCCAAAGAAAATTCCACTAAACTTTAAACCCAAATGTAAGAAATCTTTCAATTTGATTTGTAATTTGAAAACTCAACCTACCTAATTTTATATACTGAATTGCTAGAAACCAAATAATTTGAGAAAGGATTAAATTTAGATGCAGTACATAAGTGATCTTCGTGGTTTGAGAGCGCAAAACTCTCGAATTTATAGAACTCTATTTCATTCTTGCGGGCTAGTAAAACCTCAAAAATAAGGAGGTTTGAAAGATTATATATATATTGAGAAAAATTCTAAGAAAAGATGAGTTCATGGACAATAATTCGGTGATTAAAATATTCCTTGTCCATTCGAGACTTGTCATTATCAAACATTACCTCATTACATAACAAAGAGAAATAGCCATGAAGAGGAAACATAACAAATATTTGACAAATTGCAACAGAGATATAATTATTCATCATTAAACTCATGCATGTGATCTAAAAGGTAGTTGGCAGCCAGTTCCTCATTTTTGTTACAAGCGAAGTACACCTCCAACACAGTTGCACGATCAAAACCCATTGCTTCGAGCTGGAGCAGAAAACAAAGATAAAAAAAAACTCAAGGAAATTACAGAGGAACTTGTCAACAAGATATTTTCCCCGCTGTTCCTCAAAAACAGAAGGGCGCTGTTCTCTGTTTCTGCCTAAACTCACAAGTGGGACTTGATTTTTTTCCAAAAACCAAAAAAGGAATGGGTAATCCAAATCTATATAAATTATTAATATATGTGCGAACATGATAATAATACAACTCTCATCTTTACAACTTGTACGATTGTACCAGTGACTCCAGATAGGATAAAGAAGAGTTCGGATAGGCTGTCAACATAAATTATGTAAGCTAACATTACTATTAATAGACTTGGGGTGTGTTTTAATTTTAGTATTTGAAATCCAAAATCCCATTTTGATTTGAACTTTGAAGGATTTATTTTCCCTCAGACGCTGTGTCCGTGTTGTTCATTTTTCAGGCAAAACAAGTTCAGGTTCCATCCTCACGTTTTAACTGGCTCAACGGGTGCATTATGTTGCCTTTGCATTGAGTAAAATCCAGTGTACTTGTGCTAACAAAAATATCTTTTCAGCATATTATTTATATTAATTATTAAATATGAAAAACTGTATCTTTTTTAATAATTTTTATTATATATTTAAATGTTATTTTCATTAACACTATTCAAACAACATTCCTTATGTCAAAAATTACTTTTCAAGTAAATAATTAAATACAAACATAAATCCATTCAACGAAACCTACTTTTAATCAAAATCAATTTTGCAAACTCTAATCCAAACACATACAGAGTATTCATATCACATCCTATTATTGAATTATAGACTATCAAATAGCAGCAAAAAAGCAAAAGTACAGATGAAACCTATTAATGTAAGTAATATGGGATCCCATTCAGAATAAGCAGCTACTAGTTTAAAATGAAAATAATGTTTCTTATGTTCTAGAAGGTTCGGACAGGAAAACATCTATAAGTCTATGTTTTATACAGACAAGAAGATAAACTTACACGTTCAATTGCCTGCCGCTCCTCAGGGGTGACAGTCACAGCCTGTGGCATGGCCCCAGCCAGCTGTCCCAGTATATTCCTGAAGTATAATAACATCAAATTAAGCCAGTGGACATCTATTGATAGGTGAAAGAATAACAATGCAAAAAGAAAATCCCAGGACTATCATAGATTATCACTCACCCCTCACTGCCTTCAACAGGTTCATTAATCAGGCGAAGGAAGTCAACTTGATGCTCTTGAATCAATCTCATAAGATGAGGATTTTGTTTGCCAAGCTCTTGTAGCATAGGCTGCAAGAACAGTAAAATTCAGGGAACTAGGAAGGAGTAAATAAACAGAACATAAACTACCAAGTCAAAGAAGAAAACAAGAAAAACCTGCAATATTTGTGGATTAGCCTGCACCATAGCCCGCAAGGCTTGGAACTGACACAAGCACAATTGAAAAATCTAACTTAGATAAGCCTTGCAAGAACAAAATTAAGTGGTAGGTAAGAGATAGAGAGAATACCTGTTGACTGTTGCGCAGAAAATCTAAAGTGCCAGCACCAGCAGCGCCAGAACCAACATTAGGAAGTCCCTGTCACACAATATTAAGTACACCAAAATATCTCTAATTCCCTATGATTTTGCTTATAGATAAAAGACTACGTCGATAGCTACCTGGGGAAAGAGGTCTAAAGGATTAGCATTAGGTCCACTAGATGGAACCGATGTTGGTTGCGCTGCTTGTGGAGCAGCAGTTGGATTTGCAGGTTGTCCACTTGCAGGCACTCGAGTAACAGGTGGAGCTTCAGCTTGCTCTGGTATGCCCTAAAATTAAACAATATTTCGATAAAAAATGGTGCAAGACAGTATAATGCAAAAACCAACCACTAATCCAATGCTAACTTTCCATAAATTATGGAAGCAAAACCAAACTGTCAAAAAATCAGCCATTAATGTATAAACTAGAGAATCAACTTACCCAAAAAAAAGTAGACAAATATCAATAGGTAAAAAATTAAGCATATTCGAAAATTCACATACTGAATACAAATATTCAACAGCTCTCTCGGGATTGTTATAAGCAGCACGTAGGGCTCGGACAACAGTATCCCTATCCCAGCTTCCACCACCCATATCAAGGATTTGCTGAATTGTTTCCTCCAAGTTGCTTCCAGCAACGAGATTTGATGCTGCCTGCCCATATATATCAGACCCAGCCCTGTTTCAACAAAGTTTCCTTCAACAAGAAATTTAAAGGAGCCAACAGGAATTGAAAGATTATCCCACCTTCAAAATGTAAAAATTGCAATAAAGGTAAAATGTGCATTGAAATGATAAAAGAATCTTACACAGCGGGGCCTGAAGATAAGGGAGCAGGAGCTGCTGCAGGTGTAGCAGCTGGGGCAGTAACAGGTGGAGGCCTGTCAAAATGAAATGAAGTTACATATAGAATACACTTGACATCAAAATATTTATACCAGAAATATATCTTACAAATTGAAAGAGAAAATGTGATGGAAAAATCATGACTCACGTTGCCACTGTTGCAGCAGGAGCTTGAGGTGCAGAGGAAACAGAGGTTGAAGCAGGAGGTGCACTTGTCTGCATAATCTGACACAATAGTTAATATTTTTCACAAGATAAAAGCTAGGAATATAGTTTTTTTTTTTAATTATCATTTAATAAAATGTCAACTATATAACAATTTTCATTTTTTACCCTCTTTTTCCCCTCTGCCTTTTCATTACAATTTTTGTAATTAGAATAGATTATAGAATTAACAAGTAATAATACACATTGACTAAAAATACAGCTCAAACTATGCATGTCATGTTTACTACTTCAGCTGAAGCTATACTAATCACAATGAATTATAAGAGACATGGCTCAAGTCTTTAAGAAGAAAACAGAATGGACATAAAAAAAGAAAAAGCATTGCAAGTTGTCTCTGTGTCACTGACAATAAATGGTCTCAAGTTCATCAGTGTTTAATTAAAAAGCAGCCAATTAAGTGTAGCAAATTACTCATACAGATCAATGGCATAGGGGTCAATCAACTATAGAAAGATTAAAAACCAAAGAAAATGAATTACACCAAGGCCCACCTTCAATGTTTAATAAAAAGATTCTGCATTGAAAATGAATTTGCAGTTTTTGTTTAAAAAACAGAATACAAGTTTACGAGGAGAAAAAAGTTTAATACATTCAGCACACAGGCAGTCACTAAATGTATTTGGATTACTTATCCAAAACATTATCCCTTAGTGGTGCTTTATTTGTATATTAAATTAGTTTTCCCTGATATACTTTCAATACTAAAAATTGAATTCCTTTCAAACAAAATAAACCGAATGCCAAATTCTTCAGTTTCAAACATTCTAACTCTAACAAAACTTGAGAACAAGTCATTTATCGTTGTCAAAGTCATGACTCAACTTGTAGACTTGTGCCAGTTTACATTTCTAGAGAGGAAAAACGAGTAGAACCACAATCAAGCTTTTTTCCATGTAAACTCAAGTGGACTTCGGAAGATTCACACAAAAATGAGGGTTTTCTCATCAAGCGAATGAGTCTGTCACTTAGCAAGCCAATGAGGTGAACCTAGGGTGCATTTAGGTAAACAACTTAAGCATTAATTCAATAATCTCTTGTCCCAGGAGGGTTTATTACATAAATCTGATCATGAATCTTATTATAATAAGTTAAAGAGACCTTATTTTGATAAGATACCCCAAGAACTTCATTGAATTTAGTTAAAAAGAGCTTGAGTCATAAGTTCCTCATAAACTCTTCCAAACACCCTATTAGAGCCCTCACTATTTGGTAGTTTTGAACCTTGTGATTTGGAAATTTGTCCAACAATTTTGAATGTATTGTGATTTGTTTGCTTACTCAGCCGTGAAACTACATTGTATTTGTCAATTTATCTGAGTTTTAATTGTTACGATCTGCTTGTATACTAAGCTATGAACCCCTCTTGGTCTGGTTAATTGGTTTTTACACAATAAATGATTCTGGAATGTTGAATATTTATTATGTATATGGTATTAAATTCTGTTTGTACTGGATAAACCCTTACAAGTTTCCAATTCGTGTCTACACTAGTTTACATAGATTATTAGACTCTCGAGTTTAACAATCTTATAGATTAGGCCATTACAGCTGTGCCCTGACCGGTGACAAAGTCACAAACTCATTGCTACAGCGGACCAAGTGCATACAAAGTGGGGAACAATCGCATCACAGACCATCTTCATGCCATTAAGAACAACCCAACAACATGAACCAGAAGTCAACTATTTGTGGTCATTGTTCCTATTTTCCCTCACGATGTTTTATTGCTTTATTCTAAGCATGTATTGAAATTTCATAAATTGCATAACGAGAAAATTTTGCACTTTTCCTCGCCCATGATTTCCTCAGCTTTTCATTTCATTACTGCCAACAATTTTTATACTCAATTTGTGAAAAATAAAAATAGTACTTAATAGCATAATCTTTTTCCCCTTCATTATTAAGCCCTTGATCAATAATTTCTTGCTAAATTGCTTTTATACAAGAGAAATAAACAATAAACATGTTTTTAATAATTGTTTATTCATGGTTTTAACCTGTACTGTTATACTTTCCTACTGTGGCTTGCTTTATTGTGAAGTTGGGATGTCAAATATCTATTATATATATGTTATTAAATTATGTTTGGATACTACAATATTTTTAAAATTTTATCGTACTAAGTAAAACTCTTATTTTACAAGTTTATTCAGGGAAGACTTCATGAGTTTATGTAGACTCACATTTGACAACCTTGATCAGAACATTGACAAGCTTATTTGTTTTTCCCGTTTTTTTTTATAAAATAACAAGCTTACTTTTCTTTGGAAGCAAAATTAAGGCTTCACATATTTGACAAACAAACACCAGTAATAGATGAGGAAAACCAAAAATAACAACATACACCAATTGAAGACACTGTTTTCTTTTAGCAGGGTAGGGGATGCTTGCATCCATTATAAGTTTAGTTCAGATACACCAACAAAAATTAATGTGATCACATTTTCCACTGTATCATTTTTATTCATTTATTTTATTAGATTTTAATTTAAATTGCCAAAACAGAACAATATTCCAATCAAGGAGTGGAAGAGCCCCGGAAAAGATAATAGCCAAATAATAGTAATATTAAAAGCAATGTATAGTATATTCTCTCACCTTAGCTGAAGGTGCAGTTGAAGTAGTAGATCCTTCACCAGATGAGCTCTTAGTCTAGCATGTTTTGAGCAGTAATAATTTAGTACTTAATAAATTAATATATATTAAGAATTTAGAGAAGTGTGTGTGTGAGAGAGAGAGATAAATATTAAGAATTTAAAGAAGTAACATTGATTTCTAATTGAGTTAACTCAATAGAAACAATTCCAAACATTTTAGGGCACAAGCGTTGCTTCGAGCTGTAATCACTTGCAATGAGAAGATAATAAAGTCAAATGGAAAAAAGTATTCATGTGCCCAACATTCAAGGCATTCAACAAGTCAAAAATTTAATAGAGTGGAATACACACGCGGCGTAAGTTGTAGAAAAGTTCCCATGATTGTCTAAAGAAAGATTGAACAACATTTATGAGTAGATATTAACTTCTGTCCTTTGGCTGTATAGAAAGATTTTCTTCCCCATATCTCTTAATATTCTTTCTTTAAATAATGAAAGAAACTTGACACAACATTAGTGAAGATGAATAAAGCTTTAAAGAGGAAAAATACAAGATTGGAAATTGGGATATACATTTTTAACCAAGGATAAAAAAGGTTTTTACAGTAACAACAAAGTTCATGGACTCATTTAGGAAAATGAAGTCTAAACAACACAGAACTAAAGAATTGATTTTTCATGTTTATGTGCTTAGATAAAATTGATTGGAATTTGCTTACAATGGTTTAAACACAAATTTAATAAAAAATACCAGCAGTTAAACCTCACATAACTCGGTACAATCTCACATTGTCAGGATCATGAACTCTAGTATGACTTACATTCAAGCGTAGAGGCTTCTCTTGCTTCTTAGTAAGTCTTTATGGTTTTAACTAGAGCTCAGAGGTAACTCCCATCAAACCCACTTTAGGGTGTTATTGCAGTTCTTCTTTATAGGTTTCCTTTCAACAGTTTTGCACCTTGTTGATGTACACCAAACTCTATCCTAAGTTTCAATCACAGTTCTTTTGTGTATAAAGGTAATTATGGATTCATTGTCTATCTAGGTCAAAACTCAAATGTCCTTTGAACACAATTTTTTGACTTGCAAGTGTTTTGCAGTTTTAATTTGAAGTTAATGAATAGGGTATTAGACTAGGAAGCATGGATTTGATATGGGACACAAATACGATACAATGGACAGAAAAATATGACAAATTTTAAAAAGCATAGAACACAATGCGGCTAAAATACAATTGATAAAATTAGTCTTCAATCAATATACTGGTTTTCTACCCAAGGGCACATAATAAGAACCAATGTATAATAAGATTTTGTTGAAAAATGTTGCATTTATTGTTATTATTACATTGAATTCTATGATATTATGTTATTTCCACAATAGTCAATAGTGGCCACTTTCACGGCAGGGCAGAGCAGATCTGCGCCATTATTCAATGTAGCTGGCAAATCGCAGCCAAAATCATGGAAAATTGCGGAGTGTAGCGGCCACTATTTGATGCACGAAAGAAGTATCAATCTACCCTTGTTTCATAACATTATAAGGCTTTTAAGGGGAGGAACTTTGGTCCCCCTTTACATTGTCAATTTCTGCATGTCATTGTATCATTCGAACTTAATACTCTTAAACCCTAAGTGCTGCCATTCATCACCATCTTTGGCAAATTTTGCTTCATCCAACAAGCTTCACGGTAGCCGACATCCTTTTCCGACCAAGTTCTGGTTATCTTCATCTTCAATGAGACCTACTCATCTCTGACGTGATCCATTGTGAAGGCTACTTTCCATACACTATATCCAGCCAAGTTGTAGTCATCTTCTTCATTTCCAGCAAGACCCACACATTTTCCAACGAGATCACCTGGCGTTGGGGGCATTTTCCAGTGAGATCACTCTGTTTTTTCTATTTTTCATCTTTGTTCTGTTTTGACTTCTGAGAACCCCTCCAAACGATTGAAATATAAAATCTCCAACATATATATGTGTAGCATAATCTAGATTTAGTGTATTTTAAATTTTCAGAATAGCAGTCATCTTGCTATCCGCTATTCCGCTATATCGTTTTAGGGGTCGACTGCTCCTCGATGCTATATGGGATCGACTACTATGGTTATTTTCAATTAGAGCTTACTATGTGCCCAGGCATACGTTAGAAAAACCGATTAAAATAAAATAAGAATTTCAAATCACTAGAGCATTTATGTTTCAAAAAATATGAACCACTATAGATATAATAAAATGTTAAAATTATCTAATAATTGTAGCATCCAACTAGCATTGGTACAAAAATATTTTAAAAAGAAAAAATTTATAAAAATGCGTCAAAAAGTATTCAAAGTGGCCACAAAGTGTCAAACATGAATATGTTCCAATATGATTATTATACTATACAGCTATTATTTAGAAGAGTTTGTGCTTTGTAGCCATTTAAGTGCTTGTGAGATGCATTAAATGGGACTGAGATTGAAGGATGGTCTTGGTCATGCATTTGCTTACAGCTCCCGTTACCCTTTACTAATACACCCGAAGCATGCACACATTGTCTTTACTAAGAAGCACCATATATCCAGAAAAACAAGTACTGTACTATCAATCTTGGTCACTCCAAATTCTATTCTATTTTTCAATTACCACCATCTCAGATTCAAAACACCAAATAACTAATAGACCCTAAACATAACCCAAGCAAATAATAATACAAAAAGTAGTTTATAAAGTTTAAACAACTGTTGTGCAACCAAATAATTGAATATATTTTGCCAGTACAGAGATGAATGTAATTTTCAAAAAAGGAATAAATAAATAAACGAAAATTTTACCTTTGATAGCATAATTACAATAAAACTATTTTCAGCTACTTTATTTTCCTCCAAAGTGGTACCATCCTTTAGAACTTTCCCTTGATGAATAAGCATTTGCTGTGCAGCAGGATAGACATCTGCACCCTGAACAGTTTCTATATTTTTCTTTACTTCAGAAAGCTGAAAAAACCATCCACAAAAAACCAAATATTACAAATTAATTACTGTAGTTCAGAAAGAACACAATGTGGTAGAAAGATATAAAGAGAGAATTCCAAAAACACACAATTAAAGGATGGACTGACAACTATCATCCTCATTTTAAGTTTCACTCTTCTAACGCGAAGATTGTACTTTAGAGAAAAGTGAAAACTTATAGCTGTAACAAATCAAAAGTAGATTTAAATAATTTCATGGTTTGCTACACATCTATACACATTTTCATGAAAATCTCGACCATTTGTTTTTCAATAAACAGCTATAACTCCATAAGTTTCCCTTGAGGTGCAACCTGAACTTTAGAGAAGCCAAATTCCTTCAATTCGGTCATCTGGGATGGTTTAACAGCAAGCTGCCTCAAAGTCATAACAAAGTAAATTCCAAAAGTTCATAGTCCAATTAGTTATTGATCCAATTGTGTGATGTAGTAATCAGTTATACGCAAATAATATGATCCCAGTGACAATGAGATCCAATAGCAATCAAAACCAATAATAATCCAGATCTTTCATGCATGGTCTGAATTTCCCAAAAAGTAAAGTTCCAAACAATGTGAAACTCAAATTTATTTATTATCGCGCATCAAACATCAGGAAGCACTTAGCCACTACTGGACTTACACTCTTGCTCTTACCTATTTTCCCACGAAGAATGAAACAGAAAAATTAAACATATAACAAATACGTAACCAGTTAATGTTCCCACCCACCACCCATGTTAATTCAAAGAAAAAGGAAACACAATGTAAGCAATTCAGAACCAAAATTATATATTCAATTTCCAAAGAGATAAAAAATTAAACGGGGAATTGTAAATTGCCATCAATGACAATCAATAAAAATAGAATAACTGGGGCATTAAAACCCTAGTTAACCCTCGAATTCGGGGCTTCTGCTGACAAAATCGAAGTGCAAAACCCAATTCACGGAAGAAAAAAACGGGACAAGTTCCGATCGAAATTTTAATTGAACAAGGAGATTGGTGGAGAGCGAACCGTGTCTGAGGGGTTCACTTCAATTTCGAAGTGCGTTCCTTTCAGAGTCTTCACGAAAATCTTCATCTTCGACGCTTTCGCCGGTGCTCGATCGCCGACTGAACAGCCTCGGGAATCTCGCCGGCGAGGCTTTGTTCCCCCGATCCGAAAAGGGGTTTTGTGCCCTAACCAAACGACGATGCCACAGAGAGAGAAAGTAACTGAATGCCCCTAAACGACCGTGAGCAAAATCTCGTTTTATTTGAAAGGTGAAACACAAAATCTCGTTTCATTTATATAGGGACTTGTTGGGAGATCGATGCCACGCGCCATTTTAGAGTTGTGATCCACGCAGCGACACGGGCTCTATGTACTGGCGTGGACAGTGGCATGCGCAAGTGATGTTTACGTGAAAGTAGGTGAATGGAAACTTGGGTTAGTTTGAGAACAATTTTTATATAATTTGTAATTACAAATTCTTAAATATTTTTCATTTCTTTAAGATAAGTATTTCTTTAATTTAAATAATTGTTTTTATATTAAAAATTTTCCTTTTAATTTAATATTAATTTTATTTTTTTATAATTTATTTTTTAAAAACTTATCTCTTTATTTAATTTTATTTTATCGTTAAAATATTTATCGACCTTTGTATACAATTTACGAATTCAGTTTCTTAAATAAGACCACCTTTAAAAATTTCTTAAATAGGAGTACTTTTAAAATTGTTTAATTAAAAAATTACATCTTTTAGAAATAATAATTGATTTTTTTAATGTTTAAAATTCATTGAATTTTAAAATAGTCATAAAATGTATTTTCAATAATTTATTTTTGTACTATTTTTTTCACTTGATTTATTTCTCTTTGTTTTTATCAGAAATGGGAAATGGAACAAGATGAACGAACTAATTGTGGAAGTGAAGAAAGATGAATGAAAAGAAGGAAATGAACAATAAGGGAAAAAGAAGATGAACTTCAAAACAAAAAAGAAAAATGGAAAAAATTGCTTTTGAGAAAAAAACGATATAACCTTATTTTAGAACCAAAGCTCTGATAACCAAATGATGGAACAGAGAAAAGTTACAAACCTCTGAAACCCACAAAAACTTGAGTATGCTCACCCCAAGAATGCTAGGATTCAGGTTTGTTGATCCACTTGAACCCTTGAGTATAAGAAACAATGAACCAAAGCGTTAAAGACGCCATAAGGATGATCAAGTTGATGTGTCAAGAAAGTTCAATGAGGAACGAAAGATAAAAATTCTAAAATTGCACAAACAAATTGGTTGATTATTAAACATCCTTTTTAGCCCAAAATAACCTAATTAAGCTTGAATTAAGTCAGCCCACGCTTAGTGTATGAACCGAGCTCCTTAATTTGAGTTGTTATGGCCGCAAACTCCTTTAACTAATCCTTCTTTAACCCAAATAAAATTAATTTTATCAGATTATATATTTTTATTAATATTATCATTAATTATCTTTATTATAAACTCATAGTTATAATAAACATCAAAATATCCTCTACATCAATAAAAATCAAAAGACTGAGCAACATTTACAGAAAATTTACCCCCCAAAAAAAAAAATAAAAGAGTAAATTGAGAAGTAATATTAAATAAAAAGACATGTTAAAATACAAATCAAAATTCAAATTCATATATATATATAGAGTTGAAAGACTAATTTCATTAACACTACTTATAATGTCGCCGGGTACAACAGGGATTACTCAGTTTTATTTATCTTTTAAAATTTAAATTCACCTTTGTCCGAAAGAAAACAATAATTTGGGTGGGTAACCTCACAAAACAGATGTAAGTCAAGAAATGATTCCGATAACTTGTTTTCATGTCTTTCTTTTACGATTTTATTAATCTTTTAAGATTAAATTTAAATATTTAAAAGTAATACTTTGTTATTAAACACATTATTATATTAAAATATAAAATTTAATAATTTCTATAATATTTTAAAGATTAAAAAAATATTATATGTACTTCAAATATAAAATAATTATTACCGTTAATATGTTAACACCTTTAATAATGTTTTTAATTTTATAAAATTATTATTAAAATGTCAAAGGATACTTGTGTCATTTTAAAAAATCAACCTTGAACCCAAATGTAACTACGTAAGCGTATGTTTGCTTCTGCATCGCTGCTGGTAGACGTGCGTAATTCTATTATTGTAACAATTGTGTGTAATATCTATCGTGACATTGGAGTAGCTGAGTTTAAATTAAGAGTACAAGGATTTGTTTGATTTAGTTTTAATTTTTATATTTTAAAAATTATATTTTAAAATAATTTTATAAAACTTTTTTTAAAAAATAAAATAAAATAAATTTTGTTTGATAATTTAGTTTTTAAAATTATTTTTAGTTAGACTTTTGTTAATTTTAAAAAGAAAAATAGAAAAATAAAAATACTTAAATAACAATAATGTTTTTCAGTTTTAAAAATTAAAAATAAAAATTATTTATAAAATTTACATTAACAAACAAAATTTTCTATTTTTTAATTTTAAAAATTAAAAGCTCTATTTAAAAAAAAATCAAATAAGCTCGTCTATCAAACACTAATCCAAACATAGGCTAGATATGCTGCTGTTAACCCCAGTTGCAACTTGGTTTATTACAAGCAATCTATATATTACCCACAACGACAATACACTGTCAACTTTAGTTATTGTTCCGTCTCTCACCTTGAATTTGATATTAAACACAAATTTATTGTTTTTAAATGTTTAAACTTAATATCTCTCGCTGGGCCATTTATTTTTATTTTTAAACATATTTTAAAATGTTAGTACTATAAAAAGATGATTAAAATTGCAGACACAAGACAGGGATATCTATATATATATATATATATATATATAAGAAAAAAGAAATTTCCATAAAGCAGACATTAACAATTGGAACCGCTGAATGGCGCAGGCTTGGGCACGGAATTCAGATCCAACCTCAAATTATTACGATCCGTGACCTCACTCGAGTGAAATTCAACGGCTCCGTCGCCCTTGAACTGGAAGTCTTCTGCCTCGAACGACGGTTTCCACGCGCTGTTGGACGCCGTGATCTTACGGCGGCGCAACGCATCGTCTTTCTGGAAATGCTTCACTGCCACGTGTATCCTTCTTAAAATGGCGAAGAACTCTTCGATCTCCGTTTCCTCTTCTTCCTGGCTCGTCTTCCGCTCTTTATTTTTATTCTGCGTATCGCTTTCTCGTTTCCTCTTTTCTTGGTTCATCTGGAAACGCCGTCGTACCGTTGACGCTAGTTTATGCATAAGTGGGTTTATATAGAAAGGGAGGGTTCGTGAATGGGCATTGATGATATCACTTGTATGATGTCAGAAACGGTGACTTTCCTGAGAAAACCAAATTGGTTTTGGCAAAAGGGGAGGAAATACTCCTTACCCTCCACAAACTACACCTAATACTAATTAGTTAGACTCATATATTTGAAAAAGCATTTTATATATTTTTAAATTGATAATTATAATTATTTAATATTTTAAAAATGAAAAATAAGTATATTTAATATAATATTAATTATTATGATTATTATTCTAAGTATGAAAAGACAAAATACTTTCGTCGGTCAACGGTCAAAGATGGAGATCACCGACACTGTGTCAACAATTTCCTGCCTATGTATTATATTTTATCTTATTGCTCCTGCCGCTCACTCACATGTTTTTTTAATATAATTCTTTTTATTAATTAAAATTATAAAAATATTAAATAAAAAATAACCAATTCAAATTTTTATAATCATATATTTTTTATTTTAAATTAAAAATATATATTTTCTGTTAAAAATTGTAAAGTCTATCAGTTTTTTTTTCAAATTTTATGTTATTCTTAAATATTTATTTCATGATTTTTCAGTTAACTATGATAAATTTATTTTTGACAGTAAAATGCATTTTACTTTTTATCACAATCATATATGTAAAATATATTTTTTATATTTATTATTATATCATATTTAATTAATTATATAGGCATGTAAAAATGTATATTTTTTATTATGTATAATATATTTTGATATTTGTATTTATAAAATTTTATTTTTAAATTATTAAATATTATATATGTGTGTGTAAATTATATGGATTATTAACTTAATAAAGTTAAATTCAATTATTTTAAATATACATAAATTATTTTGTTATAATATTTAAAAAAAATTTAATCTATACTTAAAAAATATTATTATTGTTAAAAATTATAATATTTAATAATATTAATGCAAGAAAATTAATAAATTATATAACGAATGTGTCTATTACTTTCTGATGTCATGTGCATGACATTATTCTTTTTAAATATAATGTTCTACACGTTGATTTGACCGCGAAACGTTGATTACGGAAAGAAATAAAAAGAACAATAAACAATTTTACTTTCCAGATATTATTTTCATACAATAATAATAATAACCCATTGAGTTTGAGAAGCCATTATTTAAAAGATATTATTTTTACGTACATTACCTTTTTATTGATAATTTATATATGTGTAAATTTTTTATTTTTATAATACAAATTTATGCTATTATTATTATTATCTTTTGCAAGATTTTTATTTGAATGCAATTAAATATTTATTTTAACAATTTAAATTTTAATATATTGTAAATTTTATTTTATTTGAGGTTTTCCTGCTCGTGCCATGCTTATATTTGTCTTGACGAATAAAATATGTTTTAGATATTATTTATTTATTTATTTATTAATAATGCATTTACCTGTAATTTATATGTTAAGCAATATAATTCAATATGATTTTCCCTTGCGTCGTGAAAATATTAACTCGTGTGATTTGGATCTTGATATTCTCACTGAAAATGCTTTAGATAGGCGCATATTTATTTTTTAAAGCATAATTTTCTTAAAAATAAGATAATAATCTACTATTTAATATTTTTAATACAGTCTTAATTTTTAATTAAAATTTATAAAAAATTACCAATATATCATATGAATTTTACCTTTTTTCATTATTGATTTAATATTTATCTATTGTATTTTTGTATTTTTTAACAAAATTTTGCAAATGCTTTTTTATTATCTGATTTTTAAATAATTTGTGAATTTTAAGTGAACTCCTAAATTGTTCAAGGTTCGTTAAACTCAAATCTCTTACTTTATTTATGAAGACGATGATTTTTAGCTCCCAATCAATTAGACGACTCCCTAAAATATTGAAATTATTTTCTTTAATTAATTTTTTTAGGATTTGTTTTT